GTTTTTACATTAACAGCATTTAACTCACAGAATTTTAGCAAATTGTGATTTTCTCAAATTTATCAAAATCTACTTTGTAGCAGCATTTAGTGTGACCACCTTGAAGGTTAAGTCAGTAATAATGAACTTCAGTATTTCAACCAGACATTTAACAGCATTTAACTCACAGAATTTTAGCAAATTGTGATTTTCTCAAATTTATCAAAATCTACTTTGTAGCAGCATTTAGTGTGACCACCTTGAAGGTTAAGTCAGTAATAATGAACTTCAGTATTTCAACCAGACATTCAGGGGTTGGCCTAAAGCAGGGGACCTATCCACATGTGTCTTTTCCAAGGGTACACTGAAAAGGAATTTAGATGTGACACTCACTCTGCACAATTCTCATATCAAACTCCATGGTGCACACCTTTAATCCCAGCACTTGGGAGGCAGAGGCAGGCGGATCTCTGAGTTCAAGGCCAGCCTGGTCTACATAGTGAGTTCCAGGCCAGCTGGGGCTACAGGGAGACCCTGTCTCAAAAAGACCAAAAAAATAAAAAATAAAAAAAAAAAAAGAAGCTAATTCACCTGACAGATTATTATAATCCAGAATATATAAAAACATAAACACAAACATCACAATACAAATAATCCAATTAATATGCAAATGAGTTGAACAGGATAAGTACAAAAGGCCAAGAAATACAACCAAAAAATGTTTCATTCAATATCCTTAGCCACCAGGAAAATGTAAATCAAAATTACCCTGAAAGCCCATCTCACCCCAGTCAAAACGGCTAACCATCAAGAAAACAACAAACGCTGGGCAGGAAGCTGGGAAGAAAGAACCCCTGATGATGATGTCTCAGTTGGTGCAACTACAGAAATCAGTATGGGGGATCCTCAAAGAACTAAAAGCAGAATGATTACATAAGCTGGGTCTGCCACTCCTGTGCATACACCTGAAGGAATGTAAGCATACACCAGACACCTGCACACTTCTTTACCACTGTAAAATCCACAACAGCCAGGGCATGGGATCAGCCTAGTTGCCCAGTCAACAGATGCATGGATAAAGAAGAACAAAATTATCTCATTTGCAAGAAAAATGGAATGGAACTAGAGATGTTATGAAAAATAAGCCAGACCTAAAGACAAATAAGTTTTCTTTCATATACAGAACCTAGGTTTTGAAGTTTAGAAGACATAAGCCAGGTGTGGTGGCACTTTTTTTTTTTTTTTTGGTCTTTTTGAGACAGGGTCTCCCTGTAGTGCCAGCTGTCCTGGAACTCACTATGTAGACCAGGCTAGCCTTGAACTCACAGAGATCCACCTACCTCTGCCTCCCGAGTGCTGGGATTAAAGGTGTGCACCACCACACCTGGCCTGGCACATGCTTTTTAGTCCCAGCACTTGGGAGGCAGAGGCAGGAGGATCTCTGTCAGATTGAGGCCAGCCTGGTCTACAGGTGAATTTCAGGCCAGCTGGGGTTACTGGGAGACCCTGTCTCAAAAAGCCCCCAACCCCCAAAAATTAAAAGATAAAATATAAAAAGGGAGCTGGGTGTGGTGGTGCACGCCTGTAGTCCCAGCACTTGGGAGGCAGAGGCAGGCGGATCTCTGTGAGTTCAAGGCCAGCCTGGTCTACATAGTGAGTTCCAGGACAGCTGGGGCTACAGGGAGACCCTGCTTCAAAAAGACAAAAAAAAAAAATTATACATATATATGGGTCTATTTGACAAGAGGAGCTGGACAAGTAGAAAGGCAGAAAAGAGGATAATGGAGGATAAATATGATCCAAGTACATCATTTACATGGATGAATATATCATAATGAAGTCCACTACTTGGGCCAGTGAGATGATGACTCAGTGGGTAAAGGCACTGGTTGCCAGCCAAGCCTGTTCACTTCTGATTAATGTCTTCCAGGGTCTAGGCCCTAAAACTTTAAATGATACTCACTAAGGGATACCAACTCATGATCATCACCTTCTACCAAGGACCACTAGATCCCTGGACCATTCCACCTCACCTATCCCTGGTGTAAACCCTGGGGAAGGGCCCACCTAGCCTTTTCATCATCCCTATTCAGCTCCCAAGCAGCCAAAGGGGCCACTGCCCTATATTTCACAAAAAAAAAAAAAGGATTTCATAACTCTGAGGGGGCATTGTGATAAAACAAATATATAATTAGGTTAAAATGTTAGGGTTATGGGTAAACAAATGATCATAGAACTAGGTATAAAATAGTCAAATTAATGAGTGGCCTGCGTCCCTATTCCCTATTGGTAATTTGGGTAACCCCTTCAGAGGATGGCGTGATAAGAATAGGAGGTGGGAATTGGCTAGGCAGTTAGGGTAAAAAGACCCCAAAGAAATGTAGCCAGTTTCTTGGCCTCAAAATGTCCTTGGGCTTGTTAGCAACATACTCTGTTCCAAAGGCCAAAAATGCCAAAAATGTCAAAAATGTTTTACCTCTTCAGAGGGGGGAATGTTGGAGGGGAGGGAGTGGGCATGGATTTGATCAAAACACCTCATGCATGTATGAAATTCTCAATAAAGTTTTTGTAAATTTTTTTAAAAACTATTAAAAAAAGACAGGGCTCTAAAAAAGTATGTTCATAATCATTATAATCCTATAAAACTAGAGATAAAAATGTCCTATAACAACACACAAACAATTTAAGGGCCGAATGTAATATACATTGTTTGGATAAATTGCCATGTGTTGTTTGAGCTGAGAAGCTAGTTCTGAAAGCAGATTTACCATCCCCCATTTCAGACCCTAACATGCTTGTCCCAAAGTACCTTCCAAGGGCCCTTGTCTGGGATGGCCTGCCCAACCCCAACCACAACTCTGTGACAGGAAGTAGAGAAGAGCAAAATAGCCCAAGAGTAAAAACACTGTGTCTCTGAGAACAGCTCAAAGGTTAACCACTTCCAACAGATGTTACCAGTATTTATCCCATGATATAAAAATGGGAAAGGGAAGCAAAAAGTTCAGTCCTGAGAAGCTCAGCCATGGAGGAGAAGCTCAACTGGGAACTCCAGCTGACTGCTTCAGCTTCCAGTCGGCTTCTGCTGGATGTTGAGCACCCAACTTAATGTTGTCATCTCTGTCTGCTATTTGTTCTTTTTCTTGAAAGTCTCACTCAAAGGGATACTGTTGTACCTGGGACTCTCCATGGGGAACTCCAGCTGGCTGCATTAAAAAGGCTTCCCCAGACAACTTCTACTGCATGATCTGAGTGCTCAATTTGATTGTATTTTGCTATTTATCTAATCATCTATCAATCATCTATCTCTACTATTTGCTGTTTATTCTTTTATTTTGTCTTGCTGTATACTTAATAAACTCACTCATTTAAAACCAAAAACATGGCTATTGTAGATCATTCTCCAGACCATTCAAAGCAGGAAGATATGTTCAGACTGAAAACTGCAGTAAAAAGGCTTGTTGTTGTTTATATTAGTAAATGTTGAAGCTGTAAGCTTCCAAAGTCGTGTTCTTATTAAGAAACTACTAATAAAATTATTTCAAGAAAGTTTTCATAGTTGATGCTGGCCTATGGTAGTAGGGGTTATATGCATTTAAGAAGTTATTTTTGGCTACTGAATTAGGGAAGAGTTTCACAAGTGAAAAATACCGTGAAAGTTGAAACTTTTTTTTAGCTAATAATATCATCTAACAGTCACCTGATGAGCTTATTTCTTTAGAAAAAGAAACAGCAAATGATATAAGCAGCTTCTTTAAAACACTTTCCCCAGTAATTTAATTCTGCAGCTACACTCTCACATGGAAAGGCAGGAGGGAGGGAGTGGGGAAGAGAAGGCGAGAGGGAGGGTGGAAGAAGGGAGAGAGAGGGAGGGGAAGGGAGAGAGGGAGAGGAACAGGGAGCTAGAGAGGGAGAGGGAGCCAGATGGGGAAGAGAGGGAGAGGGGGAGGAAGGGGGAGAGGGGAGAGGAGAGAGGGAGAGAGGGGGAGAGAGAGAGAGAGAGAGAGAGAGAGAGAGAGAGAGAGAGAGAGATTGATTGCAAACAGCCTAGATGTTCATCCTTAAGAAATTGGCTAAATAAAGTATGATACCCTAACAGTCAAATGAATTCTAATCATTCAATTAAAAAATGGAAAAAAATGAAATAAAGCCAAAGATTGGCTTTTATTCCTAAGTACATAGCAGAGGTTAACTCTCATGCACCTGCCTAGTGTCCCAAGCAACACTATTTATAATAGCAAGAAGATGAAGAGCCAGGCCTGTGGTGCACAGCTGTAATCCTAGCACTTGGGAAACTGAAGCAGGAAGGTGACGAGTTTGAGGTCAGACTGGGTTGCACAATGAGACCCTATGGAAGGCCAGAGGGAGAAAAGAAGGGAGGAAGGGGATCCAAACAAGAGAACAGAGTAATATCCTCATCCACAGATATTTATAAAGGAGTAAAAATAAATGAGCCAGAGATATACACGTCTACATGAATAAATCTTCATAAGTGTCCTTTACTTTCAGCTAAAACATCATGGTGCAGACTGAGTATACTCAGAGGCATTCCTGTCCATCATTTTAATCTTTGAACATGGGCTCCGTGACCTTAAATTGGCCATGCCCAGGAATGTACTCCTTAACTGAGCATGATTAGGAAAGGGCCAATCTTTACAGGCATGTGTGTAGGCACCCTTAATAAAATCTTCATGCCAGCCTGATCTACATACTGAGTTCTGGGCCAGCTGGGACTACAGGAAGACTCTGTCTCAAAAAGACCAAAAACAACAAAACAAAAAGCTTCATGCTTCCCTTGCTTTGGAAATGACTCCTGTGCCTCACTGTCTGTTGCAGGTAATAAATCTGTCTGCACTCTCTTCCATCTTGGCTTTGTACTCATGAAGATGCAAACCTGCTGCATTTGGTCACAACTAGAATATCAGATTCCTGGCACTAGAAAGGACTTCAGAGGTCCTGCAGTCATGGCCCTCTTTCTGCCACACACTAACCAGTGGCCTTTTTCCTCTTCCACTGTTTCTATATGGAAGGTGCTTCTGCCCTCTCAGAACTTTAACTCATGGACATAAATCTAGTCTTTCTTTCCTAAGACCATCACACTTTTCACACCTATACCCACCACCCCACCACACACACTCAGCAGGAGCCCACTAACTGCCAAAGGCTATCTGATCTTGTCAACAATGCTTTTGAACTTGAGTAGCTAAGGAGTCTGATGCAGGTAAAATTCCAGCCACCACACAGGTTATTCTCAGAAGCTTGTTCCCACCAAGGAGGACTCAGGCCAGGTCTCTTTCCCTGGGTTCCCCTGTTAAAACTTCTAGATCGATCCTGATTCTACTTCTAGTTGCTAAGACCCGCTAAAGCTTCCCCAGGTGACCCGCTAAAGCTTCCCCAGCAGGCATCTCAACACAGAGGGAGTGAGGGCCAGAAGCCAACAGACTGGCATGAGGCTGTGAGGGCAGTGAAGGCCATCCAGAAAGAGATGGACAGCAAGAGGCAGTGAAGGGCAGACTCGCTTTCACTACAGACACGACACAGATGACAGAGAAAAGATGAGGACACAGGGAACTCCCGAGATCCTATCATCTTGTCAGGTCAAGGGAATACAACCTAATTATGAGACACAGGGACAAAGTAAAACCTGGAATTCAATGGTAATTGTAACCCCCAAAGTGGCTTAACATCTGACAAGAATTTAAAATGATGTTAGGAATAAGTCCAGGGAAAATGAGAGGCATTTTACTAAGGTAGGCATTACCTATTCTGAAATATCCATCTTCTAACCGTTTGTCTTTGGTTTCTTTGCTTATTTCCAAACCGTCGCTCTAAAATAAAATAAAAGTAATAATTTTATAATAATTCCATCTGTTTAAAACAAATTTAACTTAATGTGTGTTTATACAAAAATTACATTTGTGGCATAACCATGGAAATGGCCTCTCAGCCTTGAACTCTAAAAACTTGCCAAGAAAAGTCATCTTTAACCATTTTCTCAATCTGTATAGTCCACTGTGGTTGGAAATGAAATACTAAATCAATTTAATAGGATATTATTTTCAGAATACTGCATTTTAACTTGGAAGAAATCCAAGCATTCCTTACAGACCTGTAAATTAACTTTGTAATTATTATTGGGCATTCAAATGCCCACAAAGCACTGTGATACTCAAAATACAAACAGAAAATAAACACTGAAGTAAAATAGGATCCTTTCCCTAGTAGAAACATCCACAGTATTTTCCAGTAGAAAGCAAAATGAAGACTATGAACGAGTTAAATAGGTAGCCTAATAGCAGGTGTTCCACATTTAAAAATAAACAGGATTTTCCACTAGATTCCTACACCAGAGAGTATTTGCTTGTCTCATAAACAAGAACAGCCTCATATTATCCATTGTGATGGTTAGCTTGAACTGTCAACTTGACATCATCTCACTTGGGAAGAGAAACTCAATGAGGAATGGTCTACATTGGGTTGGCCTGTGACATGTCTGTAGGGATTCTCTTGATTCAGTTAACTGATCTGCAGGACTCAGCTCACCAGGTAGTACCATTCCCCAGGCAGAGTGCAGGAGGTCCTAACTGCATAAAGGCAGAGCAATGGAACTAAGCACAAGCAAGCAAGCAAGCAAGCGCGCGTGCATTCATTTCTCTCTGCTCTTGACTGACTGCGATACGACCAGCTGTTTGAAGTTCCTCTTTGACTTCCCCACAATGACTGACCATAACCTGGAGCTGTAGGCTGAAAGAAGACCCCTTCTCCCCTACGCTGCTTCCTGCCAGGGTATTTTATCACAGCAACAGAAATGAAGCTAGAACATAACCTCTCAGAGAAAGGCCAGGGAAACAGTAGCCCTACCTCAAGAGGCAGAACATCCACAGTTGTGTTCAGCAGGATGTCTCCTGGGTGCTCCTGGTTGCCACTGTGGAACAAGTAACTAAGAACATACAACAAAAAATTAAAACACAAGTCAGAATAGAGGTTACAAATTTCAAGAAAATATCCTCACCTCAGAGTAAGCTTTTCTAGAGTTTCTGATTGCACAGCATTGACAACACTGAAACTTGCAACCACACTGTGGATTCTGGAGAGCTGCAGGGAACATAAGACATGGAGGATGCATTCCCAAGGCTGTATGTCCCACTGTCAGAGCCAGCAAATTTGCATCTTAACATAATAATGTACATAACAGACTCAAAAGTGCAAGAGTTTGATGTGCTGACAAGGTTTTTCAAGATTTTTTTAATTAAAGATTTATTTTTATTATTTTTGAGTGTGTGTGTGTGTGTGTGTGTGTGTGTGTGTTGTGGTCATGAGCTGGAGTGACAGGCAGTTGTGAGCCACCTGGGTGCTCACATGGGTCCTGGAAACTGAACTCAGGTCCTTTCCAAGAGCACTAATAGGTTTTATCACTGAGCCATCTCTCCAGGTCGCTTTATTTTTTATTGTTGTGTCTCTGTGTGTATGTGGGTATCCACAGAGGGCAGAAGACAGTGTTGGAGCCCCTAGAGCTGGAGTTACCGGTAGTTGTAAGCTGTCTGATGTGGGTGTTGGGAATCATACTCAGGTCCTCTGCAAGAGCAGCAAGTGCTCTTAACTATTGAGCCATCTGTTATTTTTGAGACAAGATCTTGCTGTTGTCAAGCTGGCCTTAAACAGCTGGCTTCCAGCAACCCTCTGAAGTAGCTAGGACTTCAAGTGCGTGCCACTGGGCCCAGTGAGAAATTTTCTAAAAGGCATCCTCACCTAGAATGCCTAACAGCTGCCCATCACTGCACACTCACTATCTCAGCTAAGTATGTCAAAGAGAAGGAAACCACCATGAAGAAGGGAATACGGCTATAAACTGGAGTTTAGATAAGTCAATTCAGAGATGTTAATCAGCTGATTATTTACAGTGAAAGACTCAAAACCAACTAGAAAATGTAATATTAGTGAAGTAAACAATGGGACAGTATGCAGCCATTAAAATGCTTAAGACAGGGCAGGGTGGATAAAGATGGGCTATGATCTAATTTGGAAACTCTATAGAATTACAGGGAAATGTGCCAACAGGGTTACAGTGTTGGTCTCAGGTAGCATTTTCCCCCAATTCTTCATGGTTTAAAGTTTGTTACACTGAACACATATGGGAAAATATTTTTATAACATTTCATTCTTATATTCACTAATACAGCTTTTGCTTTATCTTTTCTTAGTCAATAATTGATTGTGGAAATTTAAAAAGTAATTCCTTTTCTCTGTCCTGAGAAGAATGGGTTTCTAAGAAATTTAAGAAAGTTTATAAACACTATAATTTTAGAACTGTGTTTACCTGAAATGTGTTGTTTATAAACGGTGCCTTCAGGTAAATATTTCCTTACAGAAGATTATTGGAAAAGTATTGATATAAATAAATCTGACTGTCGATATGTAAATTCTTATCAGAGTCTTTGATGGATATTCTTTGATGGATAAACATACACACACGCTCACTCACTCACTCATACTCTCACTCACTCACTCACTCACTCACTCACTCACTCACTGTTCTTTTCCTGATTACAAGGTAAATTGCTCACTGGACTTCTACATTTGGAAAGGTAAAATGCAGGTCCTTTTCTATTCTTTCCTCTAAGTATAAGCATGTTGAACATTGTAAATAAGACAACATTAGAAGACTGTGGAAAACCAAGAGCAGTCAGACTGTCTGGGAACTCTGGGATCCAAATGATAATGGGGGGTGAGTAGATGGAGTAGCTTTTCTTTAAACTCATTTAGTCTAGATTTGGAGCTGAAGAAACCAGCTGCTTGGAAGTGCTGAGGGGAACCAAAGCCTCCCAAAGCCTGACTATCTTGCCACAGGATCCCACATTTAGAGAACAGCCACTCCACTCATGCCAAATGCCACAGAACAAGAATCAGCCCAGCCTCACTCACATCTGCAGAGGCTGAATGGGAAGTATGGATCCCTTCACTCACCAGGCTGAGACACAGGGTTCTGATCCCCACCTGGGGTTATGACACATGAGGCTAATGGGGAGGCAAGACTTCTTTTGGCTGGGCAATAACAAGGCCATCACCATCAACGGGATGTAGATGGAGAGCAGTGAGAGGGCCCCTGGGCCCCACAGTCACCAAGACATCAGCACAAGTCTGTGGGGACCAGCACTGACACCACATGCACAGAACAGGAAGTTCCTTCCCTCTTCAGGTGTCAATAAGGAACAAGCAGAGGACCAAACTGCCACCCCGACCCAGAAGGAACAGGGCAAGGCCATTCCACCGCTGAGGGGCCATGTTGGAGGAAACAGTCAAAACTTCATGAAGGCTTACTCTATCCAAGACACCCAGGTTTCAATGAAATACCATTCCTTATACTAAAACCAAGAAAAATCTCAACTTGGATTTTAAAAGGTACTCAGAATACATCAACACTGAGCTGTCAAGACACTGGGTTTATCTGGAAAAAGACTTCTAAGTAATCAGAAAAAAGCTTCAACAAATATATGTTTAAAACAAATGAAAAACCTGAACATCTCAACAAAGAAAGAGAAGCTATAAAGAAAAATCAAATAGATATTATAGAACTCAAATCTGTAACAGCAGAAGGGCAGAGGTGAGAGTCAATGGATTTAAAGAATAGAAATGACCTAACCTGAAGGAAAGAGAAAATAGACTAAATAATGAACAGACCCATAGGACCTACGAAACCATAACAAAAGAGCCAACATGAGAGGGGAAAAAAGGGGGTGGGGCTGAAAAAGTCCTAGAGAGGTAATGTCAATCATTCGAATGCCCTTCAACTATTAAGGAAACTGAATATGTAATATTCAAACTCTCCCCAAAAAAATCTTTAAGACCAGATCTCTAGACTGATCTTGAGAATTAGAGATTTGTATAAAACGTTGAAATAAGAATCAATGCCAATTCTATATAATCTCATACAGAAAACAGAAGCAACTCTTTGTAATTCATTTATAAATTTGAGCCCAAATCAAATAAAGTACAAAAATGAAAATTCTACACCATACTTTCTGAAAAGGGACACAAAATTATAACATGTTAGCATACAGATTCAATTTACAAAAATAATTACACACCATTATCAAGTGGAGAGGATTTCTAGAACTACTTGACCAGTCTATAAAAAAAAATCAATGTTATCCAACATATTAGCCAGCTGAAGAAAGCCCACATGATCATATCAACTGTTGCAGAAAGTGCTGGCAAGGTGGTAAGGTCCTCAAGCATAAAGACCTGAGTTCAATCCCTAGAACCCACATTAAAAAAGCCAGCCTAGCCAAACTGGTGAGTTCTAGATAAAAGTGAGAGACTGTCTCAACAAACCAGGTAGAGACCAACTGACCAAGAAGGACAATAAGGTAAACTTCTGGCCTCCACACATTTGCAAACCCCAACACACAAAAATAAATAATTTAAGAAAATCCATAAAAATTCAAGACCCACTCATGGGATCTGTATTAGCATGGCATAAGGATGCAAGCACACAGAAATCAATGAGCATTGGACATGTACTGTTGGATATGAACTGCATTCTGTTAATTATGCCACAGATACTTAGTAAGTACAGGGGGGGCGCAAAGGAATTGTGGCTGCTTATTAAATTAAAAAACAGGAAGAAAAATACCTTAAATTTTGTAAAATGGATGCGAGTGCCACAAAATATGAAAGGGTTGTAAATTTTCCTATAGTGTGCTAAAAATAACCCACACCTGCAAAACTATTGACAAGGAACAGGCAGTCTGCTATTTCAACCAAGGGATGGGCTGCTTAACGCGTTCTCATGTGAAAGGGTTTGTCTAAGAAAAGGACATGAAAATTATTTGAGATTTTTGAGAGAGAGTTCTAAATAACAGTAACAAAAAATTACAGACTACATTTAAATCCAGAAATAACAACAGAATTTACTAAACATAGGGCCAGTGGTGAGATCCTGTCTTTGCCTCAGCAGGTAAAGGTGCTTGCCACCAAGCCTGAGAACCTGAGGTGCCATCCCTAGAACCCACATGGTAGAAAGAGAGAATCTCACATGTTGTCATCTGACCTCCACACAAGTGCCATAGCATGTATGCACATGCACACACATACACACACAATGTAATAAAAACATTTTAAAAAAGAATTTACCAAACATGTTAAATACTAATGATGCAGCTAAAAACCCAAGCTATTTTTAACAGTATTAAATCTAATTATCACCCAACATTTTGTGACCCACAGTCTCCTCACATCTACTTTGCACAAAACAGATTTTTATCATAAATCCCATTATGAGCAGGAGGTCTGAATTCTACAGAATATATTTCCATAATCACTCACCTTTCTACATTGACTGGCTTGTCAAATTTAAACAAGATGTAGTCTCCAGCTGTGGGGGTGATAGCCCAGAAGAAGTCCTCCCCCATGTATGTCTTCTCCAGTGTGTGTCCTTGGTAAACCTTCAAGGAAGTAGAGACCTCTGCAGGTGGGTTCACGTGGATTTTAAGAAGCAATGGTTTCATGTAATCTTTATCCTAGGAGGAAATACATATGTTCTTACATAACATTTAGCTCATTTACACACTAAACAGCAAATTGTACATCTATGAAAAACTAAATCACCAACCGTGAGTTTCTGAATTTTTCCTGATAGTGACGAGTGCAGACCAACATGCTGGAAAAGGGAAGGGCGGAAGCGGATTCGCAGATTTGCCTTCTGCCTGTCACAATGTTTCTAAACATTAAAAAAAAAAAAAAAAAGTAATTTTATTATCACATAAGGTGAAATCTGTTCCTTGACTGATAATATAATGAAGAAACTGGACATCATGATAAAGCACATTGCGCTGCATTAGCGTGACTTGAAAAGATGAGTAAATGTAAAAAACTAAATAATCCTGAAAGTTTCACGGACAAACCCATTCAGCATAGTTAAGGGACACCCACACTTCAACCCTCAGTGCCTCAAGGTTCAGACCTCACATTATAGCCTGTCCTCATGCTTGTCCACAGCATACAATGGATACCATGAGGCCCACAGAACTGTCAGAGCTCTGCACATGGCACTAGAGTTGTGGCTTATCTTCATGTTTTCAAAAGCTTTTAATTTTCAATGATTTGCCTAAGTTTGATGTCAAAGGTACATACATATACATATTTGTAAGGTATTCCCACTCTGGAAGACATCGAGTAATTGACTGGTTGCTAAAATGTCTAACATTATTCCCAAGGGGTTTACTTCATCAGTACTTCATAAGTGTAACCCTAAAACAGAGATGAGTTTGTTACTTGATTCTCAAAAACACTCAAGTGGGAAGGGAGAGAGAAGAGGATGATCTATGGCAGGGAAAGATGGAAGCTGGTCCTAATTAGCCCTATCAACTTGACACAGGCTAGTCAACTGAGAAGAGAATCTCAATTGAGAAATTTCCTAGATCGGACTGACCCGTGGGCATATCTGTGGGGCACTGTCTTGATCCATGACTGATGTAGGAGGGCCCAAGTAAGCTAGCTGAGCATGAGCCTGTAAGCCACCAGCAAGTAGCATCCTCCACAGTTCCTGTTCTACTTCCTTGGCTGTAAGTTCCCTGGTTGGACATAATGGTTCATGAATTGGCAGGCAGGCTTGCTTCAGGTTCCTGCCATGAGTTCCTGGCCTACCTTCCATCAGTGATGGAGGTGTAAACCAAATAAGGCCTTTCCTCCCATAGGTTGGTTGTTTGTGGTCACTGTGTTTTATGACAGCTACAGAAGGGAAACCAGGATAAAGCTGGAGGGAGGAGGTGACTCCAGAGGTGTGAGAGCTCCACCTGTCACTGCAGAGGCAACTGAGGCCTGGAGAGCCAGAGCCCTGAAGGACAGTGTAGCCCCAGGGGATGTGTAGATGGTCTAATGCTTCCCAGAGCACTGGCAGGGAGGTGATGGCAACTTCCATAACATTCTATGGAAAGCGATGGAGGAATACAGACTAAGGAAGAGGGGGGGAACAGATAGGGAGGGAATGATTTAAAGATGCTCATGGTTTTTATCTTCCTGTACAAGTTTTTCCACTCATAGGCTCATTTTATACTCTACATAGTTGAGAAAACACAGAATTAAATGCATGTGTGTGACTGAAGGGTAAAAATGGCATTAATGTTTTGTGTCCTACAATAAAATTTCTGTTAAGTCACCAGGAAAATCCAAATTTCAGTTTAGATCTTAAAAATGGTTTGTTCAGGGTTAGTGATACAGCTTAGTGGCAACAAACACAAGGCCCGGGGTTTAATACCCAGCTCCACATACCCAAAAATGTATTCAAACCAATTCACTCATCCAATTATTGCTGGAAAGCACATTGCTCGGCCATTGCACTATCTATTATTTGCTCTAGAAATGTGTTGTGTGGGGTTTGGGCTTGATACAGAAAGAGTACACAGATGGCTCACAGACACAATAAGGGAGCAGCCTAAAATATAACTGGCAGATAGACAATCACACCACTCTAAGGGATATAATAAGACCTAAGGTCAAATTACAGATGTGTTTATTTGTTACAGTGAATGGTATGTCAGCCCTGTGATGACAGGTGCTCATTGTTCATTGTCGGGAATGTGAATGCTGCTGTTTTATTTATGCTTACAGCAAATGAATACAACATATACTGTTTCCCCCAAGAAGTGCAACTCAAACTGGACAGGGAAATATGTCTAATTGCTTTTTACAATAAGATTTCTTCAGAAATAACTTGCCATCTGAATGATCACAAAGCACAAAGTGACCATCACTTCTTTGCCATGATCACCCAAAGGCCAGCACAGCCTATGTGTCTTTGAGTTATACAGAGAGCATGGTACTTGGCATAAAACACAGCTTCTATTTAATCCTTACCTTCAGATATAGTAGAGTCTGGTATTGTGCCCACAAGCAATTTTACAGACAATTGACAGAGAATAGGAAGAACACAAGCATACCTCACAGGACAGGCCTGATCCATATCTATAGCCAATAGTAACAAAGCCTAAAGACACTATTAACCTTTACCAGTGATTGGAGAAAGGACATCACTGGGAAACAGGTCTCCCTGCTTTAAGAGAGGAAAATCCTTCAGATGTTAGAAATTTGAATCTCCTTCAGAACTAAGATGAGCACGTGAAACACGAAGAGGAAACTGTTTTCTTGCAGTGCCTTATGAAGCTGTCCCTTGTCTGTCTCCCTAAAAGTTACTTTCATAAATGAAATATAGAAAAGAAAATCCCAGGTCAGGTATGTGGTTTATTCCTGTAACTCCAGCACTTGGGTGGCTGACGCAGGGAAGATATTCAGTTCTAGACCAGCTTGGGGCTACACAGTGAGATAAAAGAAAAAAGAAAAGACAGAAAGAGAAAAGAAAAAAGAATCATAAAAAAAGAAAGCTCCCTCTGCCCTTGTAAAGAATTAACTTACTGCATCTTTTTCAGGATTGCAGACTTTCACCCAGAGAATATGGTCCAAGAGCCAATCAATGGGCTTCTCCTTATAAAACATAAATATGAACTCTACAATCAGAGTGAGGTCCGGTGCTTGAAACATTTTACCTGAAAAGATATTCCCAGTCAAGAGCTGAAATGAAGAAACCAGTCATCAAAAGAGCTTAATGAAGTACAATCTGTGCATTAAGTCTACTGAAGCTTGTGCTTTCAACTCTAAGTCATGAGCATTTTCACACTTGCATTATCAAAAAGAAAGTTGGGGCTGGAGAGATGGCTCGATAGTTAAGAGCATTGGCTGTTCTTGCAGAGGACCCAGGTTCAGTTCCCAGCAACCACATGGTGGCTCACAACCATCCATAATTCCAGTTCCAGGGGATCTGGTGCCCTCTTCCACAGTCACTGCATGCACATGATGCACATATATACATGTAGGTGAAACACACGTATGCATAAAATAGAAATAAAATATTTTTATAGATTTTTTTATGTGCATGTGTGTATTGCCTGCATGTAGGTAAGTGCACCCGTGTTGTGCAATGCCAGCAAAGGACAGAAGAGGCTGTTGGAGGCCCTGGAACTGGAGTTACAGACAGTTGTTAGCTGCCATATGGGTGCTGAGATTTGAACCCAGGTCTTCTGCAAGAACAATGTGCTGGATAGCTTTAGCGTCAACTTCACACCTGGGTTGAGGGAGCCTCAATTGGGGAATTGCCTCTATTGGACGAGCCTGTGGCCATGTCTGAGGGGCATCTTCTTGATGTGGGAGGCCCACTGTGCGGTGCCACCCCTAGGCAGGTGGGCCTGTGTTGTTTAAGAAAGCAAGTTGAACAGGGGCCAGGGGAGTGCGGGGGTCTCTCCCTCTCTTTGCGGGTCGTTGGCCACCGGCCCATGAGGGCATAAGCTGAATAAACCATTTCCTCCCCAAGTTGGTACTGGTCAGAGTGTTTTGTCACAGCAATGGAGAAACAAACTAGGACAAACAGCCATTGTTCTTAACTGCTGAGCTATCTCTCCAGCCCCCAAGAAATAAAATATTTTTAAGGAAACAAAGCTGCTTTTGCTAAACATTCTCTTGACCTGTCACCCATGTATAAACAGAAATATAGAGCTCCCACTATAACTATAAAAATCTAACATACAATACTGGCTCAAAGGATTTAGAAATCAAGTCAGATGCCTCCCCCCCCCCATCTTACTAAGATTGTTCCCATTAAATGAATTTGAGAGAGTTATATTTTTTTTTTAAGTACCCAGGTCTGGGAATATAGTTCAGTGTTAGAATGCTTACCTAGCATGTGTGAGGCCCTAAATTCAATCCCAGCACAGAGAGAAGGAAGGAAGGATCTAAATTAGTAAATACAAACAGAGGAGAAAAAGGAGGAGGAAAAAGATTCCTAATTTTGTTATCACTGAAACTTTTACAGGCAATTCTGATTTTTTATTTTTTTTTAAGATGGGATCTCACTATGCAGCCGCAGCTGACCTGGAACTCCCTATATACCAGGCTAGCCTCAAATTCACAGATTCTTCTGCCTCTGCCTCCCAAGTGCTGGGATTAAAGGTATGTGCCCCCATACCCAGGTTTTTTTTTTTTTTTCTGAATCATAAAACAAGTTTTAAATTAAATAATTAACAAGGTCAGAGACTATAATTTTTTGGTGGGGGTGGGAGTAGGGGGGTTGCTCTGAGTTGAACCCAAGGCTTCACACATGCTAGATAAGAGTTCTACCACTGAGCTACATCTCCAGCTCTTTCTTTTGTGAGACAGCTTCACTATGTAGCGCAGTCTGGCCTGGAACTTGAGATCCTCCTGCCTCAGCCTCTCAAATGAAGGGATTACAGGCATTACAGGTGTGTGCCATTAGACCTGGCTTAAGAGGGGTTTTGTGTGTTTTGTTTTCTCCCCCAAATCCTGTACATTTCCTTCATTTGGTCAACTTCCAACATGTTCTTTTTCATTGGCTAATTTGGGGGTACTAATCCCTCAAAGGCTTTAAAATAAGCATCCAACTAGTTAATGAAGGGAAAGAAATGAATAAAAGTAATCATTGAATGAGAGCTTCATGAATTTAAGGAACACCAGCAATCCACACAGGAACCCTTCAATGACATTCTTTCTGAATAAGCCCCAGGCTTGTGTGGACACAGGAACTAAAGAGAGAAGAAATCAGAGGCGCTCCCAGGACCTTGGTCCCAACACCACGGTGGGCATTAAGGAGTGCTCTAGAGAAGATACTCACCTTAGAAGCCACATTTCTACCACCAACTCACTTTATTGTTTTGTATAAAGAGATTTACCTGTTACATTTTCTCAAAATAAGAAGAAAAAAGAAGATACTATTATTTTTCTACCACAAAACAAAAGCAATTAGTTTAAGATTCTGAGGCTTGGTTATTTTTGAAAAATAGACAACTCAGAGACTTTCCTTACCAATGAAGCCAAGCTGGGAAAACTCTAGGATCATCCATTCTTCAGAAGAAAGCTGAAGTGCGAAATTTTTTATGGTATTAAAATAGTTCTGTTTGACAATAATATCATCTTCAAGCTAGAGAAAAATGCAATGGTCATATTAATAAATCAAAAAGAGAAGGGAAAGATGGACCATATTACAGAAAATTTCAAGCACACGCTCATGAAAATCAAAAAACAATGGACAAAGATGGTGAAAATATAAAAACAGATGCTGTTAAAATGAAAAGTACAGCTCTCTCCAACCTGCAGGCCTCTCTTGCAGGGGAAAGTCAATCTTGCCCTCCATGCCTTGATTCCCCCAGCCTCACTCACCCTCCCACCTCCCCCACAGGTCTCTCCTCCTAGCCTGAGCCCTGTACCATTCCTTGTCTTGGTGCCCCAGACACCACCACTGCTTCTTCCTGATTCTGTGCATCCAGAGCAACTCAGTTTCTTCTCAGGTCCCCAGGGGTGCTCTGGGCCTGGCCCCACCCTCACCTTCCTCTGCCTCCCTGGGTCTGTACAACCTATCAGCCTCTTTTCTGGACACTGGGGCTAACCTTTCCTCTTCCTGGTCCTTTGCATCCAGACCAACCCAACTCCTCAGTGAAGTCCCCAGGGGCCCTTGGAGCCACCTGCCACACCCATCTTCCTTTCTATCTCTGGGTGGCATGGCCACCAGCTGCCCTAGACCAGCATCTTTCCTGGGCCCGGCTCCCAGGCCAGTCAACCCCCAAATTCCTGAGGCCAAAATCTATCTTGGAAGGATCCAGACCTTAGGAGAAAGCCTGAAAGCATCTGATCCTCATCTGACATGGGCCTCTGTGGGAACTCCTGAAGACAAAAGCAATCTGGCCGCTCCAATATAAAATCAAAAGAGAGAACTGGAAGCTTAGAGTAACCAGCCCTTCATGCCCCAAAATTAAACGACAAAGACGCGTAAAGTTCACAAAAAGAAGTAGACCTAAACTTGAAGGCTTGAGTCTCAAACAAGAATCAGAAACTACAAAAGAAATTCACATGTCAAAATCACAGAGAAAAAATAATAACATGAAAACCCAAAATACCATATTGCCACCAAATACCAATAGTCCTCTAGAGGACTACAATGAGAACTCCCTAGAGATAATGCAGGACATGAACTCAAAAGAACAACCATAAACATGATAAAAGTATTCAGTGAATTTAAAGAACACACAAAGAAATC